AAAAAAATTTTGTTCTTTTTATAATATTTTTGATTTTAGGAATCAATAGGATTATTAGTTTTATTTTTAGTTTATTTTAATTATTTTAATTTTATTTTTTCTCTTAACTAATTATTTAGTTTGGGCTTTAAAATGGGCTTTAGGGACATTATTGACAATTTGGTGTTAACCCTAATTTGTTCCCTATATATACATGTGTTGCTTTGTTGTAAAGGGGGTCAGAAGGTTTTCTTCAGAAAAGAGGAGAGAGAGGGAGAAACAAAGGAGATCCCCAGAGAAGAAAGGCGGTCGTTCCCACAACTCTTAAGAAGGATTGGAGCTCTCCAGTGTTCCTTTATTCAAACCTTTTTCACATTTACCGAAGCAAACCTCCGCTTCGTAGGTTAAATTACTAAACCTTTTGCCTTTTCATGTTTATGTGCATATTTTGCCATGTTAATGTGTTTAGGTCCGTTAAATTACTAAATCCTTTGCATTTTTCATATTTATTTGCATCCTTGCCATGTTAACCTTCATTGTTGTTTAGATCCGTAGATTTTGATCTGTATGAACCATGATTGTGTCGTATAGGATTGTTTGCATGTCCATTAATTGTCTGTTTGCATTTGCAATTCTATTGTTATTTTTTTTTATCAAAACCTTTTTCAAAATCAAAACCTTTTTTTATTAAAACTAAAACATTTTTTCCCAAAAAAAACCTTTTTTGTTCCCGTAAACATTTTTTTCTAAAAAAAACCTTTTTTTTTGTTCCCGTAAACATTTTTTCCAAAAAAGCCTTTTTTTGTTCCCGTAAATATTTTTTCCCAAAAAAAACCTTTTTTTTGTTCCCGTAAACATTTTTTTCCAAAAAAGCCTTTTTTTTTCCTGTAAACATTTTTTTCTAAAAAAAACCTTTTTGTTCCTGTAAACATTTTTTTCTAAAAAAAAACCTTTTTGTTCCCAAAAACATTTTTTTTTTATATATATAATTTAAACTTAACATTTTTTTTATAATTTAAACTTAAATTTTTTTAACTAAGTAATTCCATTTTAAAATTAAAACCTTTTTTTATATATATAATTAAAATATTAAAAAAATTAAAACATTTTTTTACATAATTAAAATATTAAAAAATTAAAACCTTTTCGTAAGGAACTCCTTTGCCGTGTCATTTTGTGTACCTTTTATTTTCTTTATTCCTGCATTTCATTTGCATGCTTGAGGTTGAGATGTGCTTGTGGTGGCCACAGCCCCACACTATTTTCCTCCCTCACTTCATTCTAAGTGTTATTACATATTTTCATATTCTTCATGTTTTCAGAAATGTTTCTTTGTTTCTTTATACCCTCTGCCTTTATTACTTTTCTTATTTCTGTACCTTAATTATTCCTCCATATAATGATTTGTCATATTTTCACATTTTTTACAGTTTTATCCTTCCGAAGGATTAGGTCCAGCCTTTTGGCCGCCGAGTCAATAGCCTTACCCCTTTAATGGATCAAACCCTAATTTTCACAAATGCCTCGCCGCAGGCAAAATTACAATTTTACCCTTAGCATTAGGTCAAAGAGCCGCCGCGCTCATTTTAGGGTTTCCCGCCGTGGAATCCCTAATTTAACCCTAATTACAACTTAACATTTCAACGTAGAGATTTGGAGTTTCTACACTCCACGTAAGCGTGTCCTTAAGATGCGTTTATTCCCCTTGAGACCTTGACCACAGTCAAGAAGTTTCTAACCTCCCTTTTGAGGGGAACTACGATTACTCTGATTCCACTCCCGTAAGGATACGTAGGCACAAGATGCGATGTCTTGCCGAGTAAACTTAGAATTAACCCCTTAGGTCTCTTTTCTCACTTTTAATCCCATTGTACATATACCTTAAGCAAATAAATAAAGCAAATAGTAAACATCTGAACAAAAGGTTCCTGTAGAGTACTACAGAAGTTTAGGGTGCTAATACCTTCCCTAAATTTAATCAACCCCCGAACCCTAGATCTTTCCCCGCATTGTGTTTACGATGCAAAATAGGTTTTCCCTCTTTTGACCTTTTCCTTCGGATAAATCAAAGAGCGGTTGTGAATTGAATTGAGATTCAAACTCATTAATAGTTTGTGATCCTATTTCCACCGCAACAGAAAATGGCGACTTCACTGGGGACTCCTTTAACTTTTGAGGGTTATCCCTAACTTGTTCATATTTATTACTATCTGTGACATTATTCATTTGCATGTATATATTTGTGCTTTGATTGTGGGACTGTTCCTTGTGCTGTGAGATAGGTCCTACACCCGGATCTAGTGTACCTTAGGTAAATGGCAATAGACCAAGGAAACTGTACGACGTATATCGATACGGTTGATCTGGTGGCCATAGTTAGTGCGACTTCTTGGTTGGTGCTTATATTCCTTAAGTCAAGTTGAGGATAATATTGAGGCTGCCATATGTTGTCAATGCACTAACTGACTTTTAGAACCCTAGTTAACTCATCTTGGCCTTTAGAAAGTAGTGAGGTAACCGGCTTTGGTGCAGACTAAAGTTGGTCGACACTCGATACTACGCTCATTGAGATCTTAAACTTGGAGGGTTTTGGTTGGCAAGTAAGTTGCCTTCTGAACAACCATCCTTGTGAAAGATCAATGATATTGAGATCCCTTAGAACCTGGTTACTTTTGTAGGACAGGATGAACCATCTAACTTCAGGGGAGGGTATTTGCCTTTGAACCTCATGCAAGCCTTTAACCTAGGACTTTGTGTGTTTTCATGCATTGCATCCATAAAGACTTTAAGTATGTCTTCCGGTTCATTTTTTTTTTTGTTCATCGGAAGACTTTAAGTATGTCTTCGGTTCATATTTTTTTTTCGTTTGTTCACCGGAAGTCTTTTTGCAAGTCTTCTGGTTCATGTTTTTTTTTTAATTTTTAATTTTTTTTTTGAAGTGGTGCGCACACGAGGCAGAGACGGTATGATGCCTTCTCGCGAACTAGGACGGGGCGAGTCATCGAGAATGACTGAAGAAGTGAATGTTGATGCATCTACATCAGCAACCGAGCCTGTTGGATATCTAGGAGGATCGTACGATACCTCTCTTTTAGTTAAGTACGAACATCATATTGCTAGACATATATGGTTCGGTGAGGTAAGTAAACGAAAATTATTTAATATTGAATAAAAGTCGAATTTTTAATGTTGAATTTTATAATATATTTACTTTTAATTGTTTTCAAGAGAGAGGTTCAAAGGAAGAGTTAAAGGTAGCAAGACATGGGTTGAAGTTGATTCAGAGGGTTCCACTACAGCTACCAAGAGAGATGGAGGGTTGGATATCTAGGTTTGGTCTAGCTTCACTCCAGAGAACCAGTTTGACAAAGATAGACACAAACTTGGTTTCCGCATTTGCAGAGAGATGGCATCTAGAGACATCTTCATTTCACATGTTGTTTGGTGAGATGACGATTACTTTAGATGACGTCTATTGCCTGCTTCACTTGCCCATCAGGGGAGTCTTCTGGAGCCCTCAAGATATCAGTGAATCATTTGTTGTTGAGTGGGCTGTTGATTACTTAGGAGTGTCACAGAGAGTAGCAAAACAACAAGTATGTGACTGCAGGGGTTCCTACTATAAGTTGGAGTGGTTATACGGTCGATTTGTATAGCATAGAGCTGCTTCTAGATAGGATTATGCGACTAGAGCTTATTTGTTGATCTTAGTGGTTTCCACTATCTTTGTGGACAAGACGTTTACGCTTGTCGAGGCACGATACCTCTCACTATTTATAGACTTGGATGACTTATCAGGATACAGTTGGGGAGCAACTGCATTGGTTACCCTTTATAGATATCTTGGAGATGCTTCCATGTTCAGTTGTAAGCAGCTTGGTGGTTATCTGACTCTCCTACATGTATTTATTTTAATTTAGTATATTTTGTTTTAATTAATTTTATTTAGTATATTAATTTTATTTATCTAGTTTATTATGTTATAATTAATTATTTTAAATTTAGTAACAGTGTTGGATTCATGAGTATTTTCTAACACTTGGAAAAAAAAGGAGAGAATTGGATACCAGCTAATAATGTGGGTCTCCCTCGAGCGATGAGATGGTCCTATAGGCAAGGTGTCCTGAAGGTGGATGACTTGCGACCTATTCTGGACGAGCTGACACTTGTTGATGTCATATGGTTCCCATTCGAGAATCATAGAGTATGTCGTCAGTTTGATGAGTTATGTCTATATAAAGGGTGTCTGAGGTAGGGTGACACTATTGTTCCATACTTGCCTGACAGATGTATACGTCAGTTTGGATACAGGCAATATGTTTCACATCCACCTATTGATCATACGATGGCTGGTGATATTGATGTTGACTGGATTAGTTACCATCAGAGCGTTCAGGATGTGATTCATCCGACAACACCGGCCACCACCCCATATGAGACAGATGATGGATATCTTCAGTGGTATTATCGCGTTTCGCATCCTCGTCTGGTACCGCCCCATCATGATGCGCCAACAGAGGTGCCAGTTCCTGTTTATGAAGTAGGACCATCTGATCCTGGCTGGGCTCGTGTGTTTTTATTGATTCATCGTTATCTTCAACAAGTTGGTGCCGAAGAGGATGATCCACAGTTTGCTGAGTTGTTCGAAGCTTTACATATTGCTCGATCACATTGACTTATATTTATATTTATGGTTATGTGTTAACTTTTAGACGTGTTGACTTATATTTATGGTTATGTGTTAACTTTTAGACTCATTTGACCTAGTTGGTTTATGTTTATGTGTTAACTTGTAGCGTGAAATTAAAAATGAAAACATAATTCATGACTCATGTTTTGAAATTAAAAATGAATAACATAATTAATGATTCATGTTTTGAAATTAAAAATGAATAACATAATTTATAGTTCATAATGCGTTGGTAATATAGGCGTAATTTTTTGCCAATGTTGTAGACGTCCTGCAAATCCTAGCATCCAAGATGTTGCTGCTGGAGAACGAAACTTCTTCCAATCTACTGTCACTGGTGGCATGGAAACCCTTCTTTCATGTTTACCTAAATAAAAAAAATAATTAAAATATTAAGTAAAAATAACGAAAAAGAATTAGGTTTAATCACATTATCTAAAAATAACTAAGTACTTGAACCCAATGATTTCTGTTTACAAAACGAATGCAGTAAAATGCTACATTTGGTGAAAATGAAGTTGTCATAGGGAAGAAAGTTCAACATTCAAATCCTAAACAAACAAGTACAACATTATAACGATTCGCTACCACGTAACCTATATCTAGTAGAGTTAACCATTTATGTGGTGGTTGAGGACCAAATTCCTCTATCATCAAAGATTCTCTCACTACTGCTAACTGATCAGTAAATAAATTGGCATACAAACTTGATCTTTCATTATGTATTATTTCCAACCCCATGTCTCGACGAGCCATTGGCCAACCATCTTCACCATATCCATGAAATGAAGCAATGACTCTAAATCCACAATTACCATCTGATACAACATTAACTACATCATCGATATATGACGTTATGTGATTAGGAAACTGAAGGATGAACTGCTTAGATGATTGTGAAGATTGTGATAATTTCAACTTCTTCGAAGCCTGTGATGGTTGAGATTTATTTTGTGAAGATTGTGATAATTTCAACTTCTTCGAAGTCTGTGATGGTTGAGATTGCCTTTGTGAAGATTGAGATGCTTGATCAACATACTCATGATACGAAGGGTCTCTATAAACATCATACCCTACTGATTTTTTGCCTTTCTTCTTGACTCCCCCTTTAGTTTTTATTTTCTCAGGTGGTGGACACATAGGAGTCATTATGGGGAAGGCAAGTTCAAAAACCCTACTTTTTAATGCCCTTTTCCAACAACATCCAGTGACTTAAACCTTTTCCATAACTCATCTATCGCACTACTCATATCCACCTCTGATCCATCATCTACGTCTTCGTCCAACTTAACTTCCATACTTAGTTTTCTCCAATGAACATGCACAACATCTATTGGTATCGGTATACCATCAATTCTATATCCTGTCAACTCACAAGCACAAGGTAATCCATAGGTTGTTCTAAGAGTACAACAACATATTTCCTTATTAGTTACAACATAATCAACTCGTTTTAACTCTTCAGCAATGCGTCTCAATGCATCTCGAGACACTGAACCACGTAAATTATTGTAAAATGGACTTATTTGGGCGTGCTCAACTTCATAAAAACTCTTTTGAAAGGAAGCTCTAATATTGCCCAGTTGTAACTTTAAGTTGTCATTCATAGCCTCCCAACATTTGACCATGTCACCAATACTGTTCCCCAACATTTTCTTTAACTTCCAATGAGCAGACTCAACCCTAAAATTAATACATATTAAAAATATTTTTAAAAAATACAAAAAAGATATAAAATTTAGAAATACTAAAAATAAATACATACCGATTATCCGTGGTGTTACCCAAATGTAACACTCGATTAATCCATGCTCCAACAAATCTTTGTCTATGTGGTGTCAACCATATGTCCTTCACATAATCAATAAATTCATTACAGTCAACACACGCCTGCTCAAGTTGGTTCAACCTTTGATCATACTCAACCTCATTACTAGCCCATACAACATCCGTCCATAATTGTCAATTTTCTTTTGCATGTCACTAGCCACATATTGTTTCCGTTTTGCACCAACATTCTTGTTAATATGAAATCGACATAGCAAATTGATCGACCTTGGAAACACAATTTCAATGGCTTTCATCAAATCAAGATCTCTATCTATCAAAATCACTTGTGGACACAAATCTTTCTTCACAAACAATTGTTTAAGCACCTAGCACCCAACAAAAAGTCTCAGTCTACTCAGACTCAATATACGCAAATGCGACAGCAAAAGTCAACTCAGTTGATGTCATGCCAACAATTTCAAACAGAGGTTGCCTATATTTGTTTGTCTTGTAAGTGTTGTCCATAACTAACACAATAGGAAAAATATTCAACAACTTAACTGAATCTGGATGAGCCCAAAATATATCTCTAATAACTTCAGAGTCATCTCTTTTTCTACTCCAATAAATATAACCTGCATCCTCAATAAGCTTAAACAAATGTTGTATCTCACTTCTAGGACCTCATATATTTTTCTATCATACTCTTCTGCTTGTATATTTGCGTGATCCGAGTGACATTATATGGATCTTGCTCTTGCAATGAAAGCAATATATGTCTAGATGGAACCTTTCTCTTTGTCAAATCAAAATCATGTTGCTTCTGATCCGCTGCCGACCTACCAACAAATGCGTGACCTTCTAATCTATCAGGTAAACCATGGTTATGAACTCCACATTTTACATCAATCTTCCATCCAGATCCATCAGTCGCTGGAATTGACTTGATTCTAAATGGACATCCATATTTTTTCGTCGCACTCTGGGTTCCACTATCAATATCTTTGTGTTTTCCACCTTTATCACATCCAAATATTAATATGTTACTTCTTCTCTTGCATGTTTCTTCCTCTCTTGCCTGTTTCAATATCCGAATGAGTGATGATAACCGTTACTTTATTTCGGATTCCGATCTCTTTAATCCATCTTATCACCTCTTCTAGTGTACCAAATCTTTGAGTAGTTGAAAAAACATAAGACGTATCTACACATATATGATCTTTATCGCATATTTGTAAAGAAATTTATGTACATACATTAAAAAAAATTACAAAAGCAAACCGAAAGACTCAGGAAAAGAGTTTCGATAGATTTTAGACAATTGATATCGTGCTGTTAATTGCCATTAACATCATGAAGATATTCAGTTATGTACCAGTTGTACATATATTCAATTTAGTATCTATAGCATCAACGTCCTTTAATATTAGGAAACTATTTTTGGAATGATTAGCTATTTCCATTCAATCTTGTAATTGTATATAGCATATGATGATTCAATGAAATACATGACATTTTTCCATCTCAGAACAATTCTGTTATGGTATCTGAGCAGGTTACACATATAGAATAAAACATCTAAATCATGTTTGACAGTGAAGATGAAAGTTCTCCTGTGAAGGAATCTTCCAAGTCTGTCAACAATGGCGATGGAGTAGTCATCCGAAAAACCATCTCTCCCTATGATATCACTTCCAATGATAATCTTGGAAGTTTGATAACACAGGTTCAATTAAAGGGAGAAAACTATGACGAATGGGCTCGTTCACTTAGAACGACACTTAGAGCAAGAAAGAAGTTTGGTTTTGTTGATGGATCAATCAGCAAACCTGATGAGGAATCTTCAGATCTTAAAGATTGGTGGACTAACAACTCCTTATTGGTCTCTTGGATCATGAACACAATTGAACCTTCATTGTGATCAACTATGTCACATATGGAGGTAGCCATGGATCTTTGGGAAGACATTAAGGAGTGGTTTTCCATTGTTAATGGACCACGTATTCAACAGCTCAAAGCAGAGCTCGTTGAATGCAAACAAAAAGGACTGGCCATAGTGACATACTATGGGAAACTGAAGAAGCTGTGGGAAGAATTGGCGAATTATGATCAGATCCCGGCATGCAAGTGTGGGCGTTGCAAGTGCAATCTCAACTCTGTGTTGCAAAAGAAACGTGAAGAAGAGAAAATCCATCAATTCCTCATAGGATTAGATGACGCTCTCTATGGAACATTACGGTCTAATCTTCTCGCTCAGGATCCTCTGCCTACATTGAACAAAGTTTATGCGACATTGATTTAGGAGGAACGGTTGCGTACAATGACCCGTACGACAGAAGATCATGATGAGGTCATGGCGTTTGCAGTGCAGTCTAACTTCAAATGTAAAGAAAAAGGAGGAATGTGCAGTCATTGCAATTGAATGGGCCATGATTCAGATGGTTATTTTCAGGTAATAGGATATCCTGATTGGTGGGGAGATCGACAATGCAGACAGTTGAAGGGAACTGGGCGTGGGAAACCAGAACAATATAACGCTGCTTCTAACAACAAAAAACGTGGAGGAGATGTTAAGGCTCATGTAGCACAAGCAAAATCATCTAAAGAAGAGGTTGCTTCTGAAACATCAAGTTCTGATATTTGTAATCCAGGAAATATTACTGGTGATCAATGGCAAGCATTGGTCAACCTTTTGAACAATGTAAAGCTAGGTGCAACCGAGAAGCTAAGTGGTAAGTGTTCCTTTTTGCCATGGATTATTGATACAGGTGCATCAAATCATATGACCGGCCAACTGGAATGCTTAACCAATGTGCACAATATTCTTGAGTGCTCTGTTGGACTACCGAACGGTGAAGAGACAATGGCGACAAAGGAAGGAATTGTGATGCTCGATGAAAGAATAAGATTAACTAATGTCTTATATGTGCCTAGTCTAAACTGCAATCTTATCTCAGTATCGTAGCTGCTAAAAGATTCTAACTACACTATTAAATTTACTGATAAGTTTTGTCTTATACAGGACCCCACTTTGAGGACGCCGATTGGAGCGAGTGAACAAAGAGAGGGGTTATATTATCTTAAAGAGATGGTCATGGTCAAAGCAACTGCAGTAAAAACAAATAAGGAAATTCCTTTGGACCTGTTACATCGCAGACTAGGAGACGCATCTTTGAAGGCTCTGCAAATGTTTCCAAATGTTAGTTCTAGTAGAAACAATTATCTATGTACCCAATCATGTGAAATATGTCTTAGAGCAAAACAGTCTCGAGACACTTTTCCAAATAGTGAAAATAAAGCAACTTCTGCATTTCATTTAATCCATTGTGATTTATGGGGACCTTATCGCAACCCAACATTTTGTGGCGCTAGATATTTTTTAACCATTTTTGATGACTACTCGAGAGCGGTGTGGATTTATCTCATTGTTGAGAAAACATTAGTCTCTAGATATCTTTGTCAATTCTTTGCAATGGTTGAGCGACAATTCAATAAACAAGTAAAGATTGTTCGTAGTGATAGTGGGACCGAATTTACCTGCATGAAAACATATTTTCGTGACAATGGTATAATTCACGAAACTTCATGTGTTGGGACACCACAATAAAATGGAAGAGTGGAGCGGAAGCATAGACACATTCTCAATGTTGCGCGTGCCTTGCGCTTTCAAGCTCAATTTCCAATTCAATTTTTGGGTGAATGTGCTCTTGCTGCATGTTATTTGATCAATTGTACTCCTACAAGGAACTTGGATGGTAAGACTCCATTTGAACTCTTGTATGATAAACATCCCTCTCTTGAGCACCTCCGTGTCATTGGTTTCCTAGCTTATGCGCATAATCAACATAATAAGGGTGATAAATTTGCTGCTCGAATTAGAAAATGTGTATTTTTGGGCTATCCATATGGCACCAAGGGATGGCGTATGTATGATTTAGAGTTTGGCGTTTTCTTTAACTGAAGAGATGTTGTGTTCTGTGAAAATGATTTCCTTTTGCTGTCGAAATTCTGTCTGAAAATGATCACATCTTGTCTGGTGCATCTTTCAGTAATGCTACTGAAGACGATTCTTTCCAGCTTGTTCCTACTATACCTGTTGTCCCTTCAACTCCAGCAATTGAAACTACAACATTACTTGATAAAGATGTGTAAAGTGTCACGCCACCTGTTTCAATTGAATCTCCTGCTGGATCTTCTTCATTTGACCCACATAATATGTCATCATTTGTTGAAACCAGTGAGGAACCACAAGCTTGTCGCACCTCGAAAATTCATTCGAACATACGACCCTCGCGCAAAAGGCGCGGAAATGCGGTTCGACAGAGTCGCCACCGAACTTTATTTTTCCCTAATGAACGGGAGAGAAAAATATCGAGAAA